TTGCACCTTTTTGCATAAATTTGCAAGTCTCGCGACTTATACATCGAAGCGACTAATATACATTTTTCCCCATATTTATAACCTGATTTTTGGCTGAGATCTGATTATTTCATTCATTCTGACATGGAAAATATTGAACACAACAATTTTCAGCCACTAGAGGGCCCTCAACCGATATGACAAGCCAAGTGTCTTATTAATAAGTAAGACTGGCTATTAATGAGACACTTGGCTTGCCATAGAAGCCACCTTCGTCTCGCTCCGGAACTCCTGGAGCAAACGTCAAATCAGCTGCATTTCGCTGTGCCGCCCAGGCGAAATGCAGATGATTTGGCCTTTAAAGTACATTTACTGTATTAAGGAAAATTTCAACTGAGACACACCTTTTACTATAATGTCGAAGAAACAATTGTTTTTAGGTGGTTAGCTTGGTAAATTTGAAAGAAATGCACAACGAGTCCTCCCCCTGCATGCTCCAGCTGCTGCAAATCGATTTTTGAAATGCAGCTGATTTGACCGTCAAAGTGCGTTTATTAAGGAAAAGTTCAACCGAGACACACCTTTGCTATAATGTCGAGCAAACAAATAATTGTTTTTAAGTAGGGATGTACGATATTTTCGGCATAGTATCATATCGGCTGATATTAGCGATAAAGTTAAATATCGGACATAAGCCATTCCATCTAAATAACTCACCGATATAAAAGGCGTTGTTTTTTTAAAATATTTATATAGTGTTACTTCATTTTCAGCCCCCTTTATGGCATCTGCATTTGGTAGCAGGCCAAATTGACAAAGACCATGCAGAATAATGTAGTATTTTAATTCCACAGCAGAGAAAGCTATGCAGTCTCTGTAAGTACATCTAGGAAAAAAATATCGGTATCAGTTTTCGGCCAAAAACGTTTTAACATATCGGCCAAATATCCAATATTGTGCATCCCTATTTTTAAGTGTTAATCTTGTTCAATTCTTGTTAAAGTCCTTCCGTGCACACTTCCGTGGCCCTCATTTGGCAGCCAATCAATTTTTGACACAACATCGGCCCACGTTTCCGGGTGGTCGGCTGTGACGCATAATAGATGTGACTTATACGGCGAAGCAACTTGTTTTTGTTTTTTTTACACTTTATTAGTCATATTTGGACTGATGAGACCAATACGGCGGTGTGACGTGTACGGCGGCAAGTACGGTACATGTATTTACATTTTTGGGGGCATTTAAAAAAGTAAAAATTCAAGTAGCATTGTAATTTATTTTCAGAAATGCAAATTTGAAATTAATAATAGAGATTAGTGACTTGAATTGTTACTTATGTTGGACAAAATTTGTATTTAGCAATATAAAAACATATGATTCGATCTGTTATTAATAAGGACAGTTTTCTTGCACATTTGAAAAAGCAACAGGTGCATCGGAGGGACTACCTGGTGCGGGAATGTTTTACCAAATGCTTCCAGTTATACAAATTATTCTTAATAAATGTCAGACAGAATAAAATATTGTATTACAACACTAGGTTAAGCAGTGGGTGGACTCTTTCTTCATGTAATAAAAAGCTAATTAATGAACATAAATGACTAATTTTGCAACTAGAAATTTTTAGGTTACCTGCTGGTAATACTTTATGTAGCTAATTTTTCAGTTAAAAGTCATATTGCTTAATTTGTTCTTAAGCCAAAGAAGAAAACCTTCAAGTTTTGTTTTAAAAGCTTCATTAATTATTAATTTTTGACTTAAACTTTACTTTTATTTTGTAAATAGGTTGATTTTAAAAGTCAAACAACCAAAAAACATTTATCCTGTAATAAAACCTTCCAGTGATACAGTAACTTAGTTTGAGCGACTGCTGTCTCTCTTTTATTCGTTTAACCTAATCTAATAAGTTGTATTGTTAAGATCAATGTCTGTTTAGTGGGAGACTAATCCAAGAGATGCCAGACAGACCTCAGGTTCGACCGCACCCTGAAAGAAGTCATCTACAAGTCATATTAAACGCAATGGTACTCGTGTAGAGCGAATTCCTTTCCTTTTGTGAATTTCTTAATGCGTCTTTGTCACCACGACTGTATTCCTCCATCCTCCGACTGCCGTGCGTTGATGGACAGTGCTCTCCACAGAATGAAGTGTGACATGCGGTGTGTATGTCAGTGTCTGCCTCGGTGTTTACTCTGAGCCAATACTGACTCAGTCCATTAATCTGAGCTACAACAGATCCACTCCAACCTGCCCACCTCGTGGCTCTTTGTGTTTCTCGACGTATCGATGCCCCTGCAGTACGAACACTCACATGGTCTTTTTCCTCTGTTCTGTGCGTGATCGTCATTTGTGTGTGTGATGTAATAGAACAAGGAGTGAGTGTTTGTGGGCCGGCGCTTCCAGATCGATGCAGAGATGCTTTATGTTCTCCTGTCTGGTCTAATGACGTGTCTGTAAATTAACAACAGAATGGTGGAGCACCACACTGAAGCCTAATGGCACCTCTGTAAATTACCTCTTGAATGCTACTGGACGCCTGTGTGTGTTCTCATTGTGAACAAGCTGCTCCCCTCCTTCTCCTCTTCATCTCCCTGGCACCACATCTACATGTGTGTGCGTGTATCAAAGGATACGTGTGATTTTGTTAACATTTGTGGCTGTTCTTTCTGTCTGTGTTTTCGTGTGCGCCTCCTTCCCTCCCTCCTCCTCCTTTTCGCTCCTCTCAGTAAAGACTAGCCCGAGGCCCTGAGTTGGTAATAGCTTTTCTGACAGCAATACACCAATATTTACAGAGACCAGCACCCACCCACACCCACACACATTTCATGCACACGTAAAATAGCATATAGTTTGCCCTGCGCGCACTCTCTAATACCTAAATGTTGATTTGCACACAGGGTTTTCTTTCTGCGGCCACGCACACACAAACACACACTCTTAATTAACATGCTGGGAGGGAAGGAATCACACACTGGAGGAACTCACACACATGCTGGCAAACAACGTGTTGTTTCTCACTCGTATATTGGCATTCACACTACGGGTTTTTTTCTGTTTGTGTGTTTTCATGCAGCAAAAGCAACAAAAAAAAAGACAATTTACTGCAATTGGCCATTTGAATTGTGATATATTTTCACTTTTCCTTCTCGTTATCCTCCTTGTATTATATTCAGTCAAGTGCGGCCAATTCCATTTCAACACTTCCTCTCTTTCTGCTTCTCGCCACCTTAATAAGCGATTACACTTCAGTCTATTTATTACAAGACAATCTTTTTTGCCCTCCTCTCTTCAGCAGTTCCAAACGTCGGTCTTTCTCCAGCCTCACCTGGTGAGCGTTAAATGCTCCTCTGTTCTCTTTGTTATTTTTGAACTACAAGATGGTGGTTTATGCCAGAGGCTCCGTGGAGGAAAGAAAAAATGATTAAAAAAAGAGGCCAGAGAAGAAAAATTGTGGCATTAGGCCAGAATGGAGGTGTGCGAGATATAGGGATCATGTTGAGGAGGACACAGAAGGGTGATGCTTTGGAGGGGGGAGGGGGTGCTGGTTGTGAAGGAGACAGATAACGTCGCCCCTGCTCCGATTATGCCATCGTAATGGTACGGTTTTATTTTATTTTTTCACGCAGATTTGTATGTAGGTGTGCATATTTGTTCCTCTGCTGGTTGTGAGTAGGTGTGAGAGCAGATAAGTAAATGTGAGCTTAAGTATGATGAATTGCAAAACCTTGGTCTAGTGTCCTTGGGGGTCACAAAGACTGTGCAAGGTAAGTTGCGATTGGCTGGATGTCTGTTACTCTGAATTGTAATTGGCTGGTTCTGCCTGCTTTGGCTGCTGTGACGCTTACAGGTTGCTCTTCATGCCCATTGTCAGTAGGGATGCACAATATTGGATTTTTGGGCGAAAAAACTTCTTTGGCCGATAACCGATACCAATACCAATATTTTTTCCTAGACCTGCTTGCAGAGACTGCATAGCTTTCACTACTGTGGAATTAAAATACAACATTATTCTGCATGGTCTTTGTCAGTTTGGCCTGTTACCAAATGAAGATGCCAAAAAGGGGGCTGAAAGTGATATAACACTTCAACTTGGATTATGTTTAATGTCAAATTTATTCATGACATTTACTCTCTCTAACACAATGACAACATTCGAACAGTGCAAATTTGTAAATTTTCCACAAATCTAAACTCAACCTGTTCACAAGCGACAAGTGAAAAGTGCATAAGTAGCAGTGCATTAATAGATATACTAAACAGTTTCTTAAATTAAAAATTAACTTAAAACAAAAGCCTTATATATCTGCAAGTTATTTTGATGGAATGGCCGATGTCCGATATTTAACTTTATTGCTAATATCGGCCGATACGATACCATGACGATAATATCGTACATCCCTAATTGTCAGTATTTGCCATCTTTCTCAAACTCTTTCCAACCTCTTCGCCTAGTGCACATAATTAACACGGGCATGCACATCCTGGGTTTTGCGAACCACGTGAAATAAGCCCTGTTGTCAAACAAGACCACCTCACTTTTAGACTACCAGAGCAGCTGTTCTCTCAAAAGAGAAGGTGGCAGGTTTCATAACGAGTTTAGAACGCTCCACGCTCACAAGCGTCTCTCTCTCTCATATCCTCACTGTTTAATCTCTAACCCACATGAGTGATCAAAGCTTGTTTACCCACCACTCCGTGGTGCGATTAGAGGTATTGAAGGAAGTGTTTCTTCCAAGTGCTGGCGTCAGTGAAGCTTTTCTTGACAATAACAACATTTTCAGCATCCTAAAAATATGTTTTTGTACCGAACATTGGAATCAAATTGAAGCAGCCAGCTGAGATTTGTTTTACTCGACTGGCTCTGATGAACACCCACCATTTTCATCTCTGAGCTGTTTGCGAGGAGCAGCGTGGGAAGAAGCATTGTAGCTTAGATAATGTACTAATCATTAGAATACTGTTCGATGACAGTGTAACAGTTTTAAACTTATTTGCTCTCCTCTCTCCTTGTTTCCTTTCAGCTCGCGAGGAGTATGTTGCAACCTTCAAGGGCTCTGAGTACTTCTGCTACGACTTGTCGCCCAACCCCATCCAATCTAGTAGTGACGAAATCACGCTGTCCTTCAAGACCCTGCAGCGCAACGGCCTGATGCTGCACACGGGCAAGTCAGCCGACTACGTGAACCTGGCACTAAAGAACGGTGCCGTGTCCCTAGTAATTAATCTTGGCTCCGGGGCCTTCGAAGCCTTGGTGGAGCCGGTCAACGGCAAGTTCAACGACAACGCCTGGCACGACGTCAAAGTCACCCGCAACCTGAGACAGGTAACCAGACTACAAGCGGTAGAGGAGCGATGGGCCGAAAGGCGAAGAGATGAAATTCAGGAAGTAGTTTATGAATGAATGAATGAGTAGGCATTTTACTTTTGGAATGACTTGCAAAAAATATATCAGCTATTTCAGTTGAAGAAAAAAAAAAGCCAAACTCTTGCTTTTTTGCCTCCTGTGCAAGAAGATTTGAATGTCTAAATTAGAAGACTTTGTGATATATGTATATATATATATAAATTCTGGCTGTATACTGAAAACAAAGCTTTTTCCAAAATGATGTAAAAAGCAGAAAGCAATAACAACAGCAAGACATTAAAGAGTGCAGAGGTTTACAACTAAATAATGCTCTCATTTAAAATGCTTGACAGCTTCGTCTGAAGGATACGTTTGCCATTTGAGGCCGTTCATCTCTGTTTGGCTTTGGCTAGCCATGTAGACTGCTGCAGATGAAGGGCAGACTAAGGTCCGCAGGAAGAAACTAATCAATGTAGAAGCTGCCATCAGTGAACTGTTGTTCAGCTGTGGCAGCGAGAAAATTCCTGAGGTTTTGATCTTAGTTTACAGTGGGTTAACCACCAGACCAGCTCTGCTTTCAGCTCTAGGTGAGTGCTTTTCAAGTCGAGTGTGCGATTGTGAATGAGCGTGTGAATGAATCGGAAGGAGAGCGTGAACTAGAGATTGCAACGAGGATCACAAGCACCCAGGTGCTATCTGTGCTCTTCCTTAACCGTTTGCCTGTCTATACTAACGGGACTACTAACTTAACTAACCTGCTAGTGAAACTAACCACCATCCATGGAATGATTCATTCTACTAACCTAACCTGTGCCCTTCTCCTAGCAAAACCACTCCAACCAACCTACTAATCTCACCAGAGGCCTTCTAGCGTTTCCTTTTTTTTTGTTCCCGAAGTTGTTCTGTTCACAGTTTTTTTGCTTTCCTTTCTCCCCCTTTTCCTACAAAGCACTCAGGCATTGGACACGCTATGGTAAACAAACTCCATTGTTCGGTAGATATCATTCTAATTGTTTCTTAGTTTGGGGTTTCCCCGTGTCTATTTCCTTTTGAACCATAGACATCAAAACTAAAGCAATAAAAGGATAAATGCGGTTGGTAATCTCCTATGCTTAAAGATCCCTGTCCCTCATCCTTGCCAACCACTTTTTGAAACCCCCCCTTTCCTCCACTATTTCTACTGTTTTGTTTTTCTTTCACCCCATCACTCTGTGCCTGACATATAGGCGTGCACAGATTGGTTCATCGTTCACATGCACGCAAGTGTCGAGCCCCACGCTCCCTGCATGGCCTGACTCAAACCCTTCCCCTCTCTGACTGGTCCATAGAGTGGATCGAGAGGTTCCTCCTCCCCTTCTTTTTGATTCTTCTTTTTGATTCTTCGTCCTACACTCTTGTCATGCATGTTCCTCGTCGTGCCTCTGAGTCATCTTGTCCTTTTGGTTGTTGTCTTATCTGGTATCTTTGCCAGCGGTTGCATGCAGAGAGCGGAACAGGCTGCATGCTTAGATATTTTGTGTGTGTATGTTTCGGAATGAACCTTCGCCCATCTAATACCTGTACGTGTGTGCACATCAATATCTGTGTGTCATCTCATTTAGGCTCGCTGATCCAACAAACCCCCTCAGCCCACAAACCAACTAACACCATCATCACAACTCACCCTAACAACACACTAACATAACATCATCACTACTAACAGCATTGACATCATTAACCCTTACCGCAGTAACCCAGCACAGCTTGGCCTGACACAAGTAACACCACTTTGGCTGGCAGCAGTGCTACAACTAACAACTACTAACAAGTAAATAGTACTAACACTTAACTGTATGGCACAAAGATGCTTGTGAATACGTAACTAACACCAGCTTGGCTGGGCTTGTTTGCCTGGCAATGCTAGTGAGAGGGAACTGTATCATAGTGGGGAAGTAATGGTCAGTAACATGGTCAGTAATGTCCTGGAGAAGAGCTGAGTGACAGCTAATTGCAACTTACATGTGACAGCATTAGATCTCTGTGACAGCTAAAAGCCCCTGATTAGGCGATTACACAGAAGGATGGGATATTTTAATTATAGTAGCGCTAGTATCACTGTAGGTAAAGCATTGAGTGGAGGATGTCTTTTTTATTTTTTTATTTTTTTACCTAAGCTGTAAAGTGGCTTAGAGGTTGAAACAAAAAATGATGTTGAAAACTTTAAACAGCAAGAGACAAATTTAGGTAACAAACAAGGTTATTTACTCTAAAGCTGCATGAACCAAAACCTTTTCCATGATGTAACATGCAGACGCATTTTTTCTAACTCTATGTTGTCGCAAGCCAGTATTGGACATTCTGAAGCTCCGAGTTTCATCAAATCCAAATTAATCACACACTGGATCTAGTCTCTATTCTGAATAATGAACTGCCTGCGATTTACAAGCCAAACCACACACAGTTTGACTCCCAGATTTCACAGGGGGTGGATGGGATTATTGAGGTTGTTACAAGCTGCAGGAAGACTGAGTGATATGGAGCGTCATTGTCTAGAAACATATTTTTAGTCCCAGCATTACCAGCAACAATCAGCACTATTCAGTTACACTTCACAGTCAGCAAATGCACTAAAATCAAAGTCCCTACAGCAGCAACACGATACATTTTCTAAAACCAATCTGGCCTCTTTCCAACAGAATGCATATACACTGGTTATTAGAACAATGGGGGCTAATTTGGCTGGTCAGCGCATAGCTAGCGCTTAGCGCTGCCTTTGGTGTGAGTATATAGCGTGTCCTTTCCCTGTGCTTTGTTGTGTAGGTGACGATCTCTGTGGATGGAATCCTGACCACAACGGGCTACACACAGGAGGACTACACCATGCTGGGCTCTGATGACTTCTTCTACGTGGGAGGGAGCCCCAGCACTGCTGACCTACCTGGCTCACCTGTCAGCAACAACTTCATGGGCTGTCTTAAAGAGGTGCGATGCATACTAATTGATATTAAAGTCAAGTGCCTGGACAGAGAACAGTAACTGTGGTGCACAGCATGGTTGAAAAAACAACCGGTTTTTGTTTAAATCATAATCAATTGCACTGTTCTTTTCAAGTAAGAAGTCTGCAGACAACAAAGGGGTGGGTTGAACTCTTGGCGCAATTGCTCAATTCACCAAATCAGGAAGTGGGTTTTCTGAAATAGGAAGGAGTAGCTTAGTTCACTATAACATAACCACCATTTTAACCACCTGTTAAAATGAGTAGGCACTGAAACAAAACTCAGAAGTTGAAAACAAATTGAGACCATATGGTTCCAGTACAAGTTACAAGGGTTAGGCAGGACTTAAAGCTCCACATAGCCAGTGTGCAGACTCTGGTTTCAAAAAGTACAATACAGCTGCTTCTGGAAAACATTTTCTGCTGACTTCAGTTCCCAACAAAGAGAGAAGGCGCGGACCATTAGTTTATGAGCTTAACTTGGCAATAAGTGAGCAGTAGGCCTGTCACGATAACACATTTTGCTGGGTGATTAATTATCTCAGAAATGATTGCGATAAAAGATATTGTTTGAAATTTGACAATTATTGTCAAATTTAACAAGAAATGTTGGTTACATTTTGTGTGTAGTACATTTTTTGACCACTGGATGGCAGTATAAGACCATTTGAACCGAAGGATGGATAGTGAGGGAGCCAGCAGTGTCTCTTTAAGAAAAATGAGAGGGAGGCCCCTTGTGACATGAGCTGTCTCTCGTTCCTGTTTTGGGGTTCTCAAAATGGCTGCCGCTGGGTGTGGTTTGAACTCTTTAGCATAGTATTTGTCACACAAAGCTTTTAATAAAAAAAATCAGTAAACAAGTTCTCAGCTTCTTTTAGCGAGAAAAACAACTTTTTAGAAGAAGGTTTCACGGGTTTCAACTGTGAATTTTGGAGCTTTGACAAGACAGGTTTTTTCCCCCCGCGGTCAGCCCGTTAGCTTAGCCCGTAGCTTAGCTTCTCAGCTTAGCTGCTTTTAACGGTCCAAAAACGCTATTTTGGACAGTTAAAACAGGTTTTAAAGAGAAAGAGAGGGGTCACTAAAGAGCACCAGAGTTGAGCCTTTTGTCATCCAGTGTCTTCAGTAGAAACGATAAAGTCGAAAAATGAAAATTAGGTCGATAATTTAAAAAAAATAAGCAGATTACAATATCCATACTTTTAAATAAGGTTCCAGCTACTTAGCTTTCTTAATTTAAAACTCAAAAGTGTGGTATTCTAAGTAGCTGCATGGCATGCTATGCTGTGCTAGCTAGCATGAATGAGAAGCAAAATGTCTTCAGCTACACAACAAAATTCAATTTGTTTAGTTTGCAAATCATTTTGGGGGTTTCTTCCTAAGCAAACATTGGAGCATGGATACTAGTATTCTTTAACATTATTTAGCTGATAGCAAATTAGCTAGTTAAGCTTTCAAAGACATAAACTAGCTCCTCATTTTTGGGGCACCTACTTCCTGACATTGTCTGAAACACCCATCCAGGTTAGTCACTCAGTTTGGATGTAACCCACCTTTTGTGTTATGCAGATACTAGCTTTTTCTTCACCTTTCTTATTTCTTTTGTTCACTTTCCACCCTTCCTTTTCTGACACGCAACACACACCAAAATTCTACACGTTATTTTATAATGCGCTCACATACACAAACAGAAATTCTTTCATTTGGCTGACTCGCACAAACAGTCCCAGACACGCACATCCCATCCAGCATCAGACAGAATCAGTGATGAGTGTCGTTGAGGGAGAAGATACAGCGCTGAGCACTAACATGCTAATTAGCTACGCCACAGAGATGCTCCATCCATCCGCTCTGTTTGAAACGGGCCACAACACTGCAGCAGCAAGAACTCACATGACACAGTCGTAAAAACGCAAAACGCACACGCTTGCACACTTAAATGCACTCTTGGTGTATATACGGGAAATTGGCACAGATTTCCCCATAAAAGTACAGATACTCAGAATGATCAAAACCAAATAAATGCACCTTTGAATATCAAACGCTTTAATTCATACATCCTTGTGCTCACTGACGGTGCTGAGTTTCCCATTCACTCACACGGATTCACACAGAGTCATAAACAAACAACCTAACAAGTCGACAGATGATGTGCCAAACAGAGAGCTATCTGTATCTGTGGTGAATGCACTCTGTGTTGCTTCATTAAGACCGATAGTGTTTAAACAAGGCTGCATAGTCAAAGTGAACCCTCCACGGGCACATTAACATATTTAATGCGAAGATATGATAATCTGTGTGAGCAAATTAAGATGTATGCAGAGAATCACATGCATGAAGTGTCATGGCTAAAACAATTTTGTACATTGGATTTGCCATAGGCACAATCTTCCACTCAGACACCCACTTACAAGACTTAATATCTTGCAATCACCTTAACTGCCTTACAAACTGACCCTTAAGCACATGACAAACTATGAATGAGTAAATAAAGGTGAACAGTCAATGCAGAGATGCTACATTATTGCTCTAAAGTCATGTCAGAAAGTCTGTTTGTTCAAATAAGAGCGTGTGTGTGCTTGTCTCCGTTGCATCAAAATGCTCAGCACAAGCGTACTCTTTACTCTAAAGCTGCACAGTTATAAGCCAGACTGTGTCAGGGAGAGGAAAGAGAAAAGAAACGAGGTACAGAAGATAAAAAAGCTCATTAAAATGGCAGTCAGCTAGGATGTTTCAAAAGATTAGCATGTTACGGTTACTACTTTGGAACAAAAGTACCAAAACATCTGAACAAACAAAAAGAAAAAGGCTTTTTTTATGTTGCAAGATTACTAGGTATATATTAAAAATTTTGAAAACTAAACTCAAGTTTTCTTCTTTTCCCCTCATTTTCAAGGTGGTCTACAAGAACAATGACGTACGGTTGGAGCTGTCTAGACTGGCCAAACAGGGAGACCCAAAGATGAAGGTATCCACTTTCAACAACTTTAGCACATAATCTTCTAACATACAGAACATGGGCACCCTTTTTACATTAAAACCTCCTGGTGTGTCCCATGAATCTTAAACTGTAAGGATTTTAACTAAATAG